GGGGGGGGGCGGAGCGCGGTACCCGCAGCCCCGCGCATGCGTCGGACCCAGCCGCAGCCCCGCACCGCCGCCGGGACCCCCCCGGGCCCCCTCTGCCCCATAGCAACCCCATAGCAACCCCATAGCATCCCCATAGCAACCCCATAGCATCCCCATAGCAACCCCATAGCAACCCTATAGAACCCTATAGATCCCCATAGATCCCCATAGCAACCCCATAGCAACCCCATAGCATCCCCATAGCAACCCCATAGCAACCCTATAGATCCCCATAGCAACCCTATAGATCCCCATAGCATCCCCATAGCAACCCCATAGCAACCCTATAGATCCCCATAGCATCCCCATAGCATCCCCATAGCAACCCCATAGCATCCCCATAGATCCCCATAGCAACCCCATAGCAACCCCATAGCAACCCCATAGCATCCCCATAGATCCCCATAGCAACCCCATAGATCCCCATAGATCCCCATAGAACCCTATAGATCCCCATAGCATCCCCACAGCAACCCCATAGATCTCCTATAGCAACCCCATAGAACCCCATAGAACCCTATAGAACCCTATAGATCCCCATAGATCCCCATAGGATCCCCATAGCATCCCCATAGCAACCCCATAGAACCCTATAGATCCCCATAGCATCCCCACAGCAACCCCATAGATCTCCTATAGCAACCCCATAGAACCCCATAGAACCATCCCCATAGCATCCCCACAGCAACCCCATAGATCTCCTATAGCAACCCCATAGAACCCCATAGAACCCCATAGATCCCCATAGAACCCTATAGATCCCCATAGATCCCCATAGATCCCCATAGCAACCCCATAGATCCCCATAGGATCCTCATAGCATCCCCATAGCAACCCCATAGAACCCTATAGATCCCCATAGATCCCCATAGCAATCCCATAGAACCCTACAGATCCCCATAGCAACCCCATAGAACCCCACAGCTCCCCACAGCGACCCTACAAACCCCCATAGCGACCCCACAGCGTCCTCCTTCACCCCACAGCG